AATATAGTTGATTAGCAAAGCTACAAAGACAACTATAAGTATAATTAATTTTATTTCTATGATTTCTAAAAAGTAGAGAGGTATGAGATATAATATTAGTTTGTAATAGGATTTGATGAGCTCTTTTTTAATGAGAAAAGTAAGAGTAGTAAAGAATCTAAATATTATTATAGAGTTGGTTAGAGATTTTTAGAAGCATTTTGATAATAAGTTGAGAAGCTTGCAAGTAAGAAATCTCAAAAAAGTCTAATAATTAGACTAAAACAATAAATATAAATATAGAGTAAAGAAAGTAAGAGTATAGCTATGATGAAGAGGAGTTAAAGCAGAGATATAAAGCAATAGTATATATTAAATTATTTAGTTAGTATATTAAAAGGTTAAGATTGTTATTAGAGATGATGTCATATATTAAGATGTTAATAGTTTGGGTTTAGAGAATATTGTCAAGACAGTTATATAAGAAAGAGTTATATGGAGTATAGATATACATGTGTTAGAAGGATATTGAGAAACATTTTGATTTTAAAGTTTAATATAACTAATGCAAATACTATAACACTATTATATTTATAAATATGTTTAAAAAAATTTTAAATAGTAAATATCTTCAAAGAAAAAGTAATTTTAACTTATTTAAAAATAGTAAAAGAGGTAGCAGAATAATAGCCTCTTTATGATAACTAGATATAAGTTAATCTAAATAAAAATATAGAGCTTTACAATAATAGTATTTAATATTCATCTGCCTAATATCTGCTTCAAGAGGATAATTTTTAGAAAAAGAAAAAGCCTTACAACATGTAGGTAAAGTGTAATAGATTTTTTTTGTCAAATATTTTTGTAGTATATTTTGTTTTTTTCATGTTGCTACTTGGTAGATGATAAATTAGCTCTTCTTCTATACTTTGCAGCAGTCTCTTGATTTATTACTAATTTTTTATCTGGCACTTGTCTTTTGCATCATTGACAGTATGCTTATACAGCCTTTTTTTTGCTCATATTATTTGTAAAATAATATTTATTATAAATTGATATAATATATAAATATAGAAATTTTTATATTATTAAATTATATTTTATTGCAAAGACATGTTAATACATCTTTAAAATATAATATAGTAATATAAATATATTTGTACTTAGAATATTATGCATATTAAATTATTTATATTAACTACAAGATACTACTATATTTTATATATCACAAATATGCAATAAATTAACCATAATAATGATTAATCTTTTATTTATTATTACACTACTTAAATAAAAAATTGCAAAATTCATTGCAAGAAAATTAGATTCACAAAGACACGGTGTTAGAATATCGTGTCAATGGCTATATAAATAAGTATTTTATGTTATATGTAAATTTTCTTCTAATTTATTAATTTATGTATTAATCTTTAACATTTTATTTTTTTATTTTTTATATTTAGATTTCACTTTAGAATCAAAATAATAAAATTCTTTTTAGAAAATTTTTTGATTTTTTTTATTACTCTTTGATATTATGATTATTAAAATTATTTTTACTTTTCATTTCTGTTACTTTGAATATGTGAATATGAATTTACATACTTACAAAAGCATATATATTCGATCATGTGAACTTTGATTATGTAATCCTATTATTGTAAAATTTCTTTTTTAGAAAATTTACTGATTTTTTATTGCCCTTAAATACTGAAATACTGAAATATTTCGATTGTTAAATTATTATATATTACTGTGAATATACATATGTATATATTCGATCATATGGGCTGCCGTCAATAGAAATCAAGCAAATCTACATTTAAAAAAAAATCAATACCTTAACTTTCGCAGCTCATATCTCGATGAATTTTAAAGCTATCTTAATGATTTAATATTTAAAAGAAAGCTTACTATCTAATCTTTCTTTTGAATATTAAAGCATCAAGATAGCTTTAAAATTCATCGAGATATGAGCTATGAAAGTTAAGGCATTAAGTTTTTTTTAAATGTAGATTTGCTTGATTTCTATTGACGGCAGCCCATATGAACTTCGATTATGTAATTCAATTATGGTAATCTTGATGATCATTAAATAGAAAGCTCTGATTGGCTGGTGTTGACGGACGGACATTCCGCTTTAACATAATAAGAAGATAAAAGCTTTTATAGAATATTCAATGGAATGGGAGGCAAAGGACAATTAAAACTGAATAAAACCCCAAAGAAATAATAGAAGCAACAGCACTTAGAGAAATATTTGAAGAATCTGAACTAGTAATCAAAAATGATAGACTAATAAAAATCCAAGAATATTCATATTATTCAACAGAAGAATGAATTGCAACAGGGTGTAGACCTGAACAAGTGAGATATTTAATAACTTTAGGATTATTTATATTCAAACTGACAGACGAGATACCTAAAAATTCAGAACCAGAAACTTTAGGACCATGGAGACTATATTCGCTAAAACAAATCGAAGAACAACAAATACCTTTAGTGCCAATGATACAACAAAACCTTTATTGTACATTCACAAGAATCAAAGACTACACATTACTTGAAACGATCAATAAAATAAAACTTGCACACCAAAAAGGAATAATAATCCCTAAAAAAAGTCTTTACCCAAATATTAAATGAAGTAGACTCAGAATATGAAAAGGAAGAAATAAACACCGCTAACTGAAAGAGAACTAGAAAAAGTCCTAACAAATAAAGAACACATAACTGCAAAACAAATCCGAAGAGGAAAATTATTAAAAACTCAAATTCAAAAAAGAATTGCCCACTAAAACGATAGAAAAACAGTTAAATAATCTTGAACACCTCCTAAGAGGTTATAAATACCTTTCAATTATAGATAAAAAAGACCGGTACCAAGCCGCAGCTATTTTAGAAAAATACCCTAAAACAAAAGACCTCTCAAAACTACCATTAACAATACTAGAAAAATTTAAGACCCGATCTTACTATTACAACTTAAAATATGATAGCGCCGGAAAAACTTCAGATAAAGATACAACAAACAAATGAATATCATGTTACCTTAGTAACAATTGAATTTTTAATGAACGAATACAAGGACTTAACCCTAATTTAGAAATTCCCGGTAAATCAAATCCGGCCACCTAATTCTTAACCATAGCCTTTTTTTGTCAACCGGGTCGACCCAGGGTTTTAGTATCGGCCATATAACTAATATACATATGCATACTTGAAGGCGTTTACTAATTTCCCCAAAGTTTCGATATCGACCAATCATAATGCAAGATCAGGTGTAACGTGAAGATCAAAACAACAATCGCTTTTTTTTGAAAAGTCACACTTATCGCAAAATTTCGGCTAAGAAATCACCCTTTATGCACTAACAAAAAAAAATTCCTTGCAAAATTTTAGTATAATGTTGCCCACTAACCCTAACCACTAACCTAACTGAGATGTCACATTTTAATCAGAAGGTGACATGTAAATTGACACGAATAATCCCAGCCAATCAAAACTTGGGGGGAAATTAGTAAATGCTACTTGAAGATAGTCAATAGAAATAGTGTAGCCAATGTTCAAAGAATTATTTCCGGAACAAGACTGGTCCTGGACCAGTCTTAGCGGTTCAGAACTAGTTCGTATGAGGATCAAAATTACTCGATTTGGTGTAATGATATCAGATATACATCATTAAACCTTTTTAACGTAAGATTTACGTAATTCTAAAAAGATTGTTTTGGGATCGAAACCGAGTCGGATTGAACCTTAAATACTGTACGTGCTATTAAAATTAAGTGCTTTTACTGTCTTTTACTGTAAAGACCAAGCGGACCGGACCGGACCGATTCAACCCTAAACCAAGTTTTAAGTTTAAAATTTTGGGTAAACAGAAACATTGAAATTATGACAACGATAATCAGGTTTGTGCTCGTGACCAATTTTTTCACATGTTCTAAATTACTAAATTTCCTTTTCAATTTTTTTTTTGTTTGAATCTTTTTATGGAATATTAAACTTCGAATCTGTATATCATTACCATTTATGTCTCAAACTACGTATTTATATGAATTACTAGATTTTCTCCGATCATTTGTAATTTAAAGTTAATGGTTTACTGGTTACAGTACATACTATGGAATTGATTATGAAAGTGAGAGTGCTTGTTAATTAAATATATAAAGTCGCTTTTTGATATATTAAACTTCGATACATTGATGAAAATGAATTTTTTAATCAAGTGAATTTAACATCAAAATTATCTTCAAAATCCTCTCATTATTTAATAAATGACAACGAAACAAATAATTTGTATTTATCTGCTTATATAAACTTTTGTATTTATCGGTCTGAATTTATTTTATTTTGGCAGTAATATAATGGTTGATTTAGTTAAATCATACGTATGTTTTAGGTTTTTCATTATATATATTAATTTATCTTGTGACATAATATAATTGTTTTTACAAAGAAAAATTTATTACTTTATGCATGAGATTTATAAATGAGCACACAAGCACAACACGTAATCAAAACATAATCTAAACAAGTATAATATTTAAACCGTTTATTATTATTTAACATTTACTATCATTTTTTTTCTAATATATAATGATAATAGTTATTTTTCTAAATTTGGTTAATGATTTAAAAAGTTTATAGGTAATAAAGCTCGTTTAGACGTTTTATTCATTCAAAGCTACAAAATTTTATGCCAGAATCAAGTTATCAGTTCAAATATTGTGAAATTGGGAACAAGGTTAGTCTCGGTGTACTTAAATAAGAAACCGCACCAATCTTGTTTTTTGAGAAACATTACTATTTTTAGAAAATACCTTAAAAGTATAAATTAAATAATTACGGTGTGACGTCTAACTAATATAAAATGACAAAATTACTAAATTTGGTATGTTATTTTTTGTACACAAACAAATATAATTAAATAATTACTTAATAAACTACTTGATTTGCCAAAAAAATTCAGATTACTCTATATAACATTTACCTTTTATCCTTGCAAGGTTTAATTAATTATGGAAAAAGACTTAGATTCTGATAATAAAAAAATATTGATAATTCCTTCAATTGACGTGCCTAATCCGAATGTACTAGAAGCAGTCGTTTTTCCCTTAAGAATAGCAAGCAAAGAACCATCGACTGAATCAAATATGACCTCATTGACTGGATTTGACGAAACTGGTATTAGCACTCAAAATATTTCTAGTTTTTCGTCTAATATCAATGATAAAGATGATAAAGATCATGTGTCTTCAACTGATGTATCTAAATTAATTCTATTTCAAGAAGGGATAACCAGAACGAGTACTAAAGATTTAATAGAAGCAACATTTGAAAATGATGAAAATGATATAAATGATCAAAGTGATGATACTGATACTGATTCTCAAAATGATGAAATTAATATAAATGCACAAGATGATGAAAAGGTCAAAAATATACAGAGCAATACAAGTGCAAAAAATGCTGATATAAATGCCGAAGATCAATTTGATCAGGAATCTTCAAAATCTGTTAAAAGAAGTTGGAGTATTAAACGAGTCTTTAGCAGGAAAAAAAAGAAAAACAAGGATAATCAATCGAACGATCTTGTAAAAGATTTCATGGACAATGCAACTGCTAATCAAGCTCACGACACTGCGACCGAACAAGATAATCAAAATGATCAAATATTAGGTCCTCACGTAATTCCACCTGAACTTTTTACCGAAAATATGGTGACTACTTATTTTCATGTAATAATGCCGAAAAAAGTTTTTAAAAGAAAATTTATGGTATTTGTGATTGGTAACATTAAGGAATTAGGAGATGGAAGATATGGCATCGTACAACTCAAACGATATGATAAAAATCCTATTTATTGGTATTCTGATCCAATTAGTGTACCGATTAATGTTCTCGAAGACAGACCTATTCGATATGGTTACTTTGTTTATAAAGGCGCTAAGAGTAGTTTAGCAAAAAAATTGTTTAATCAGTTAACTATCAAAAGTAATTCATCATTTGAAAATATAGTTCCTGATATCGACGTTGATGCAGAAAATTGGTTTTGGGATCGCAATAAGCGTGAATTCATTTTTAGGGAAAATCAATATGATTTATGGAGTAACACTGAAAAGTACCGAATAAAATTAAAAGATTTATTAAAATATTATCCATATATCTCTATCATCTATGGGTCGATTAATGATAAGAATTTAAAAGAGAAAATCATTGAATATTTAGATATTAACAAGAGACATGCTTCTATTTTGGATTATGATGTGTTAGAGCGGTTTGTTTTTAAGAACTTTTGTGACTCAAATTCTATTAAGCAAAATGTATTTTTATGCGTTTTGTTAGGCTACGCGATAAAAGAAAAAAAGTTTAAAAATTATATGCCACTTGGATATAATCTTCCGGAAGATTTCCCTTCCATTGATATGTTACGAACCTTCAAGGATATCAGTAAGGATGATTTACCTCATGGAGTTATTAAAGTGCTGCCACAAGTTGTCTGTACAGTAGTACTGCATATTTCCACCTTTTCTACAAAATTCGAATGGATAAAGGCTTTTGAAGTTGCTCCAGTTATAGATTCAAAGTATACTTTCCTTGAACAGTTCAAAGTTCCTGTGTATACGAGAGGAAATGAGTCAAATTTCTTAGAATCACTCAAAAAATTTGCCAAACCATCCATGGATAAAATTACAAATGATGGCACTTACGTGAAAGTTTGCAAAAATCTACTTTCTTTATGCCAAAGCATTGCTGCGATAATATTTTTATGGCAATCCATTTTTCATCCTGATACATATATGTATGATGACCTTAGTGAATATTCTCTCAATCGTCTAAATTATTTCTTAATGAATGACAACGCAAAAGAGTTGGAGAAACATCTTAAAGAGATACCTGTTAATTTTAATATCGATTTTACTTTCGTATTTCGTGAAAGAATCTTTAAATTATTAAGTAATTTTAATGTTAGTTGGGATAAAGATAATATAGACTCGATACTTAAATTACTTAATAATGCTAGATTGAACTGGCAAGAGGATACTGTCCTGCAAGCACTTGGTGTTTTTTCTGCTTCAGGGAACATGGATTTATTACAAAGTTTTCCTATTCAATTAGTAATGTTTCTCGAAAAAGATTTCATAGATATCGATTCGAACGATAAAAGACTCGGTAAAATTTGTACTCAATGGTTCAAAAGCGCACTGGCGTGTATTAAGGAAGAACAAAATGCACCCAAGCATATCGAGGAAAACTTTTCATGCACAATATTTCATTACCTTTCAACAATGTACTCCATCATGAAAAAATACAATATTACAAGTGTTCAGCTCTTTAATGCTGCTGAAGAAGCAGTTAAAGTTCTTAAAGATAATGTGATTTTCGATGCTGCTGTTAATATTGGAGATCTTAAGCAAAAAGAACTTATAGAAATATTTAGTCATGTATTGAAAGAAAGATTTGATTCAGATGTCAAAAATAGTGATATCAAATTATTAAGTAAAATAATGAGAATTTGCAAGTCTAAAGGACAACAATTACATATCCCAAACACGTAAGTTCAGAAGTATTAAAGTTTCTTT